CAGGTGGTGTGGTGGTTAAGAGTGCTGGACTCCACATGGTTGACTGGTGCAAGTCGCGGACCTGACAACTTATTTTCTAACTTTCTTTCTCTCTCTCTCTCTCTCTCTCTGTCACTCTGACCCTATCTGGTCAAATTAAAATAAATAAATAAGGGCCGTCAGGTGGTGGGGTGGTTAAGGCTGCAGGACTCCCACATGGCCGAGCGAGGTTCTTGTCCCAGATCTTGCGGCTTACTTTCTCACTTTCTCTCTCTCCCCCTCTATGGTCACATTTAAATACATAGTTAACTAAAATCATTCTTTAAAATAAATAAATAAATAAATAAAATAGATACAGAGCCAGCAGGTGGCATAGAGGTTAAGGCACTGGATCCCACAAGGCCGACTGTGTGCTTTGAGGCCCACACCCAGTTGTCTTCAAATATATGGTAGATGCATATGTGTGAGAGATGGGGGGATGGCCAAACTGCAACACCTTCTCCTCCATTCTCCTCTTGGGACTCTGCGTATGTGCACACACGTGCCCAGCATGATTTTCAAGCCGCCAGTTCAGGGTCTCAAACTGTGGTTAACCATATGGGAATCCAGTGCCTTAATCACCATACCGCTTGCAGGACGCTTACCCCTTTGATTTTTTGTATTTAAAGAATTTGGGGGTGGGAATTTTGGCATAATGGTTACATTTCTGGACTCCCATGTAGTCGACCACAGTTCGAGTCCTGGACCCGGTGGCTCAAACTCACGCCAGATGCGTGTGTGTGCGTGTGCCCAAAATCCTGAGAGGAGAATGGAGGAGAAGGGATTGTGGCAGGGCATCCCCCCCCATCCCCCCTGGGGGGTGATTTCTGGGGTTCTGTCTCTCTGTCTCTCTCTGTCTTTCTGGTGAGTGTACGCACCCTATAGCAAAAACCTCTCCAGAAAAAAAATTTTTTTTTAATTTTAACTCTACTTATTATTATTTTCTAGTTTGATCAGAGAGAGAGAGGGAAAAGTGAAAAAGCAAGCCACCAGGTCCAAGACTTGAACTGCAATCACTCATGTGGGAGTACAGAGAATTTAACCACTTTGCCCAACCTGCTGATATATTTAGTTTTAAAATAATTATTTATTTTATTTTATTTATTTATTATTATCCGATTTGACCAGAGAGAAACAGAGAGAAAGAGAAAGGAAGTGTGAAAAAGCAAGCCTCCAGGTCTGGGACTCGAACCAGTCAGCCATGTGGAAGTCCAGTGCCTTAACCAACACACCACCTGCCAGCCCCGTACCTCTGATATTTTAAATGACACAAACCAGTGTTTAAAAAATTCAGCAAGGGCCAGCCAAGTAGCCTAGTGGTTACAGGATCCCACACGGCTGACTCCAGTTTGAATCCAGACCCCAGCACCCTGGACACACACAGGGTGCTGGCATGTGAACAACGGCTCGGAATTCAACAAGAGGGTAGAAGGGATTGTGATGTGACCACGCCCCATTCGGGGACTGCTCCCTCTGGCAAATTAAAACATGCACCCTTGGGGCTGGCAGGTAGCATGGGGGTTGGGGTCCCGGGAATCCCCCGTGGCTGACCGTGGTTTGAGTCCTGGACCTGGTGGCTTGCTTTCTCACTTTCCCTTTCTCTCTCTCTCCCCGTCTCTGGTCAAATTAGAAAGAATAAAAAAATAAATTTAAATAAAAATAATTCTTAAAAAAGAAAAAATGCCCCATCTGGCAAATTAAAAAGAAAGAAAAGAAAAATTTAGCCAAAGTAGTCAAACTCATTAACTATTTATACAACAAGGAAGAAAACTGTAAGACTTATTTTCTAGCTCAATAAAAAAATAATAAATATTCCTTTCAGATAATAACGATACCAGTTATTTCCATGGCAAGAAACACTGGGTCATCAGAAAAGTCATGATGTGGAGGCGGCAGGTGGCGTGGTGGTTAAGGCACGGGGCTCCCACGTGGTCAACAGTAGTTCAAGTCCCGAACCTGTAGCTTACTTTCTCGCCTTCTCTTTCTCTCTCTGTCTCCCTCTGGTCAAATTAAAAAATAAAATAATAACAAACAAACAAACAAATAAATAAATAATTCCTAAAGGGAAAAAAAGAAAAAGTCATGATGCTTTATTTATTTTATTTATTTATTTTTTTTTGGAGAGATTTTTGCTATACAGTGCGTGTGCTTGCCTGAAAGGCAGAGAGAGACAGAGAGCAAGAAATCACCTCCACGGGGGGATGGCCACACCGCAATCCCTTCTCCTCCATTCTCCTCTCAGGATCTTGGGCACGCACGCACACGTGCCGCATGAGTTTAAGCCACTGGGTCCGGGACTCAAACCATGGTCAACTACATGGGAGTCCAGAGACAGCCGTTACGCCAACTGCTGGTCCCCCTTACTTTATTTTTTAAAGAATTATTTTATTTAACTTTATTAATTTATTTTTATTTGATCAGAGAGGGGGGTCAGCAGGTGGCGTGGTGGTTAGTGGTGCTGGATTCCCACGTGGCTGAATACAGTTTGAGTCCAGGACCTGGCGGCGTGCTTTCTCACTTTCCCTTTCTTTCTCTCTCTTTCTGGTCAAATTAAGAAAAAAAAGAAGAAGAACAAATAAAATTAAGTAAACTCTTTTAAAAATTTTGGCGAGAGAAAAAAAATTTCATAAGAGAGGGACAGTGAGAGAAAGTGAGAAAGCAGGCTGCCAGGTCCGAAATTTGAACTGCTGTGAAGCATGTGGGAGTCCAGTACCCTTCACTACCCTGCCACCTGCTGACCCCGAAGCACTCACTTTTTTAAAAAAAAGAATTACTTAATTTTATTTGTATTATTGTTAATATTTTAAAATTTGACCTGAGAGAAAGAGGGAAAGTGAGAAAGCTAGCATCTAGGTCTGGGACTCGAACCGCTATTGGCCAAGAAGGAGTCCATCACACCAACCACCACGCCACCTGCCGGCCTCAGTGAATGTGTATTCTGAAATAATTAAGTGTGTACCTCCAGTGCTGTCGATCTCACCCGTTGACTTCTCCATATATGTGGGTTGTTTTAGGACTCGGTGGTTTTTGAGGACGTGGCTGTGAACTTCACCCAGGAGGAGTGGGTTTTGCTGGCTCCTTCTCAGAAGAAACTCTACAGGGATGTGATGCGGGAAACCTTCATTAACTTGGCCTCTGTAGGTAAGAATGAAACTATTCCCTCACTCGTCAAGTAGACAACAAGTGTTTCTTGTTCATCATGGAGGTTTTGTCATTTGGAATGTGGAAACAAAATATTTTTGTGAATAAACGTGATAGGGAATGGCTCTTTTTGGTTCTAGAAAGTCATCATTTTTCTATAATTTCTAATAAGTTAAAATATTTTTTTCTGGGTCTACATTTTAGAGAAAAAATGGGAAGATCAGAACAGTGAAGATCCATACGCAAACCAAGGCAGAAATCTGAGGTGAGTAGTTGTCTCAAATGAAAATAGTGTCCTCCAGGGCTGGTGTTAACGGCCTACTGAGTAAAGGGACCCCCCCCTCCCCACGTAGCCAACATAGCAGTTCAAATCCTGGACCCGACAGCTTGAAAAACATGCTGGGCGCATGTACAGATGTGCCCCAGATCCCAACGGGATGGAGAAATGGAGAGGGGATTATGGTGTGACCATGCCACGTGGGAGAATGCTTTCTCTCTCACTCTCTGGAAAGTGCACACGTTCCTCTAGCAAAATAAAAAAAAGAAAAAGAAACAAAAATAGTATCCTACAAGAGAACTTAGTATGTTATAAAATTTTTAAAAAGCCCAGCTTTGGGGACTAGCAGGTGGCATGGTGGTTAAGGCGCTGGACACACCCACATGGCCAACCACGGTTGGAATCCCAGACCTAGTGGCTTGCTTTTTCCTTTCCCTCTCTCTCTCTCTATCTTGCTTTGGTCAAATTAAAAAATAAATGAATAAATAAAATTAAATAATTAAAAAAAAAAAAGCCCAGCGTCCTGTTCATTTATTCATGGAAAACCTTTATCAAAAATGTTTCCTGGGGGGACCAGCAGTTAGCGTAATGGCTACGCCACTGGACTCCCATTGTAGTCGACTGCGGTTCACGTCCTGGACCCAGTGGCTTAGAACTTACGCCGGGCGCCTGTGTGTGCGTGCCCAAGATCCCGAGAGGAGAACGGAGGAGAAGGGATTGTGATGTGACCATCCCCCCGGGGGGTGATTTCTCGCTTTCTGTCTTTCTGTCTGTCTCTGTCTGTCTGGCGAGTGCACGTGCCCTGTAGCAAAAACCTCTCCAA